GGACCCGGCATTTGGCCATATTCAACCTCAGGTTTGAAGGTATCCATCTACCACCTCACGACTGTACCTATTGTACAAACCAAATGCACCCTTTTCTGGTGATCTGCCTTGATGAGCACAACACAAGATGGAAATACTTTGAGTGCAAGCAAGACACAAACAGGACACACGGAGGGGAGCTGCTGGGTTTTCTCTCAGCCCTACACTGACTTTCTGAGAGTTTTCCCCCGAGCAAAGGATGCAGAACTGAGGTGACTTCTCACCGTCCTTCAGCATTTTTATTCTGTCTGCCCCACGAGGAGATCTACTTCTTCTTGTTGTTGTTTCCCACTGATTTCCAGCGTGGGTAGAAAATGCTAACAGAGATGGGTGAACCCAGACCGCTCCGGCAGACAAACACCCACGCTGCGCCTCCACACTCGCTGCTCAAACAGCTTTGTCCGGGCCCATGGCTCAATGCTCTCATTGGAAACCAAACTCACCACCACCACGGGCTTTTCCAGGGAGAAGGCAGGACCCTGCCCTGGCACTTCACAACTTTTACCACGTTGTGACTCAACCCGAGATCTCATTCCCGTTCCATGACAACAGTCTGAGTGGCTCACCTCTGCGAGCTGTGCCCTCGTCGAGTACCGACCCGTCACTCCAGTGACAACACTCGCTACGGAGCTCGAACCGAGCTCAAATCTGGCAAAAAAAGCATCGCCTGTACTCAGAAAACGCCTGGTTTTGTAGGAAGTAGAGTTTTAAAGTACGATTGGGTAGAGAGGGCAGGAGAACAACTTATGTGCCTTACTTTTCTACGATTGTATCCCAGTTTTCTTTTAAAAACGTCCAAGCCAGATGGTAGCCGGATGGGTTTTTGGCCACAAACACAATAATGGATGGGAGATCCTGAGTCCTTACGATGTCACCGCGCAGACCTTGATCCATCAACCTGAGAATCAGAAACAGGGACGGGAGCTGTTCAGACCAGTGGGTGACGCTGACAAACCACTATTCCCGTACTATCTGTCCACATTGGTAAAGGTCCTGACTCGTGATTTTGCTGGGTTACTTCCACCTTTTCACACCCTACTCCTTGGCCACGTCCACCTTTCCCATTTCTGTTGCTTTTCACTATTACAGTTACTTGGTAGACCCGTATTCCGAATATTAAGGATAAAAACAAGGCTACAATTTGCTCCTACTCAGAATTCCCAAATTAACATGAACGTGGCTCCTCCCTCTGTGAGAAAGGCCTTGTTCTACGCTCTCAGTGGAAAACTCAGGCCTGCAACTGCTGCTCAAAGTGTCCAGACGCTGCTCTGCAATGCAAATAATAAACTGTAACACAACGGAAGAGCTGAGCTTTGTCTCCAGTGATACCAAACTCAGCGAAAGCAGCGTCCCATGCTGCAGGAACCAGGTTCACAGGACGCATGGTTTGAGGTGAACACCTGAGAACCTCAGGTTAAAAGCAGGAAAACCTCCAAATTTTATTTGTAAGAAAGGTACAGCATGTGTACCTATAGCCCAAGTAACTACAAAGGCAAATAAAGAAGTGTCTGACAAGCAAAGATAAAGCATCTGAATAGCTCTTTCATTGTATTTTGCCCCAGTTTGCGGCTGCAAATTCCGAACGCATCGACTCCTGGCACCAAAATACAGAAAGGAAAAGGTGCAGCCGCTTCCTCCGACCGCACTGACTCTGTAAAGCATTTCATACACCACGAAACCCCGAAGCTGTGAAGCGAGACTCTGAGTAACCCTGTTTCCCGTCCCCGTGTCTGCAAACCCTCCCCAGACACACCTCTGTTCGTGTCACCACTCACCACTGAAGCCGGTCCTTGCTTCCACCGAGGCTGAGCGCTAACTCCATGTGCATCCTGTCTACGCTGAACGAGTGCAGTGTGTATTTACCGAGCAGGAAATCCCACCCTCCGGGTGTCTGCGCTCCAGCAACGTACACCGCTGTCTTCACAGTGGCTGGCAAGCTGCAACAGGTCAAACAGCAGGTTACTCTCCACGTCACAGCTAGGAACGTGCATACAGGCACCACCGCGTCACCGGCAGGCACAGCGGGCAACTTAACAACAACACTGGTCCCTCAGGGGTGTCAGGAAGTGATCCCTGTGGCTGGGACAAAAGGAAGAGAGACATTTTGGAGGGCGGTTGAGGGAGTTCTCACGGCGAGAAACTAAAATAAGGCGGAGTTCATGAATAGCAGTTGTCCATTTTTATAACAGCCATAGGTGAACCTTCGGGCACATAGAGGTAATACAAGCCATTCTCGCTGTTCAGAGCACCTTTAACAAGCCCAAAGTTGTGCAGTACCCCATGACGGACGTGCTCGTACAGGAACACATCACCCAGCGAGCTGTAAAGGCACTGGGAAGCTAAAGCATAAGATACAAAACTCAGAAGGCTCAACTTCAGAGCGTGTACGGAGCCCTTTTCGCACATTAATTGCGCCGCAATCAAACAGGGTCAGAAAAGCCAGTGACAGACAGAGAACTGACCTGAGGGTCCCGTTGGATTTCTGCCATTCTCTGAAGTAGCCCTCGGCCTTGTCCACGCAGGGCTGGTACCTGTGCACGCAGGCAAACAGCAGCAGCGACTGCCGCAGCAGCAGCTCGGACACTGAGCCCTCGTCGCTCCAGGACTGCTCGTCAATCAGGTCTTTAAACAGGTTGATTATGTACTCCTGAAATCAGGTAGCAACAAAGATGTGTTTTAAAGTGCATCTCACGGCGTGCAGGCAGAGTTAGGAAGTTCCACATAATTAAAATGCCACCTTTAGCTGTTTCTCTGTGCCGTCCGTAGCCCTCCTCTCCATGAGCCTGTACATCGGAATCAGCTGATCCATACCTTGGAGCACAGGCATGATCTGCCTTTCATGTTTCAGGTACAAAGTCAAGTCAAGAGCTTTGGAGATGGACAGCTTTTTTGTTCTGAGGAAGTGGAAGAGAGGGGATAAAACAAGTTATAATTGAACCTAAAACTCAAAAGCAAAGTGCAAGACAAACGCTTTTCAGAAAACTACACAAATAGCAAAGCCCTGCAGAGGTATTTCCAAATCTCGTCGTAGCTTTGCTTGCTGACGTGAAATGAGGCTGAGCAGCTACACAAGCTACAGAACCTGATGTTTAATCTGGTAACTAAGAAATGGACTGTCACCCCCGCACAGCGCCCTCGCGCTCTCCCCACCGCTGGTTTTGCTCTACAAAGCGCAGGCAGACGGAAGGAATCCAAAGACTGAGACACATCATTTCCTCGACGTCTTTCCAGCTCAGCGTGTAGATGTTCAGGCTGCAGTAAACCTCAGAGCGACAGCCCCAGCTGCTCCCTCACGTCCGTTACCCGACTTTGCCAACTGCCTTCTGCCTCTGCTGGGGCACAGCTCAGTGATTTCTTCCCCGAGCAAACAGGGAAATGAAAGAGGTCTTTCCTCACTGTCCCTGTTCGTTTTTTCATCCTTCAAAAACCTTTTCTGCGTCCTTTCCATGCCAGCTCCCTGCACAGATCCTCATTTTCTCCTTATCCACCTGCCTCTTCAGCCTCAAAACACAAGCGTGTTCTCCACACCCATCATAAAACAAACCCTGCTTAACCCAATTTGCCTGAAAAGAACATGCTCTCAGTCTATTTAACAGATTTAACGAACCCTACGTACATTACCAACACTTCCTTCCTCAGGGCTACACACTTACAAACACAGAGTTTGCATTTTTGGGCAGAAGGCCTCACCTCACGAGCTGGAATACGTCGTTAATGAGACTCGCTCTGTCATTGCCGCTAATTGCCGTGTGGTTCTCTTTCAAAAGGGTAATCAGACGATCCCAGCCATCACCTTCGTAGTGCACAATGTAATACCCACTCATGTCCACGTTGAATTTAACCCACGCCACCTCCTCCGGAAGGATGATGACGTCTGGAAACAAAGACATAACTCCTGCTTCCCTCAGTGATTCACACACATCCCAGTACTACACCAGTCGACACCATCACTCTCCTTTCGGTGACTTAAAGAACACAGTAACACGGCCTCTGAAAATATTAAGAGATCAATATAGTGATATTATTGAGCCGACAAAAATTTGCTTCTCTGGTACAGCAGTTTCAGTTACCCATTCTGAAAAATAAAACCTGCAGAACTAAGAGGCATGCAAATAAACTCTGAGTAAGTTAATTGCCTAATTAGTCCAAGAAATTACCTGCTTTCGTAGTCATCAGAAACCTCTGAACAGTGTTGGATTTACTGGTAATGTAGGTCAGCGGAATGTGCCACAGGTACCTATTGCAAGACAGAAGTGCTTGGTTTACTGACAGGACTTCACAGCAGCTCCTCCAGCTCGCCCCGGCCCAACGCCGAGCGGTCTCTTGTGCCCGCACAGCAACGGCAACGCACAGCGCTCACACCCCTGACTGCGGTGCGGAGCCAGACTCCCCTGGCCAGCGGTCACTTCATTAAACCACAGCCTGGTTTGTGTGGGAAGGGACCCCAAACCCCCCCAGTCCAACCCCCAGGGGCAGGGACACCTCCACCAGCCCAGGCTGCTCCAAGCCCCGGCCAACCTGGCCTTGGGCACT